CCGCGCTTTAAGTATACATGTATCTTATTCGCCGTCCGAGATCTCGTACACAACATGCTCGATCTGTGTTTATTGAATCGTCACAGGTTTTTTCTGAACAATCAGTTTCAAACACGAATTTTTTGAATTTAATATTTTATTATTTGCCTTCACAGAAAAGCCCCATAATCCAATGATCAACGCGGGCGGTATTTTGACGACTGCAATGATAGAGCCACATTTGAAACCAGCAGATAGATTTGATTTTGTAAGTCGAATATGTCCATTAATTTTGACACCCTCCTACTACTAAAGATCTTGCCTACCAATGTGTCGTGACTCATTTCCCATTTTGAGCCTTGCTTGAAACCGAAATATGATTTTCCCGTTTTTCCTCCAACCGCTTTTTATTGACTGTTCAATCGCCTCACACAAACTAAAACAGTCGTGGCCGGTACACACAAACTAAAAATGAGAAAGTTGTCACACCAACCTGCTCATGCACGCTGTATCCCATAGCAACCAAGTCCTGTTCTTCGTTGCCTTAACCCTTATCTGGTTAAGTCATGTAAAAGTACAACGGGCTGGCTGAATAAAGTTTAAGAATTTGCTGTAATAACCGCAGGAAACTAAACTTTGGGGGTATATACGTCAATTTTGTATTCTTCCTCGTCCATTTCTAAAAGTCGCAATTGTAAAGTTCTGATGAGAGAGCGATTCATAACAAATAGTAATACTGTAAAATGACTAATTTTTCACTAATATTCAGTAGGTTTTAAATTCACGGTTTTATCATTTAGATAATGTCTTCTATGCTAAATTTTACATATTCACAGGGTTTTAATTAGACGCATTTCAGTTGCCAGTCAGCGAAATAAGCAAAATTAAAATCCAGTGAATAATTAACCCTTTACAGTATTATAAATGTTATGATATGCAGATGCGACAGCGCAATTACATCATTCATGGGTTATGTTCATTTCTTTAGATCATGAATGAATATCAGAGGATGGCTGGAGGAGACTTTATTGGATTCAGTAATGCCACGTAAGATACTAATTATTTACCGATTTTATGAATTACGTGAAACACATGCGATCAGTTTTGACATTCAGCGACGATTGACAATTGACCTCTCTGACCTTGAAATCAAAATTAAAAGACATAGATTTCCTGGTTGTTCTAAAATATGCACTCAGGTTACCATAACTACCGGTAACTATTTTTTTTTAATTCTGGTTGTAAACAACAAATGTCATGGCACATAATGGTGTACCAATCTTGGCTATTTTGGAATCACAACTGATTGTGTACAATTTGTTTTTGGAATGTAACCACGTTATGACAATGTATATACTCGACTTACCTTGAGACAATTTTGATTCTCTGATTCCCCATGATTACCATATATTCTTTGCATTTGGATGACTGGAGTCTTATATTTCTAGATATCTTTCGGAGAAGGACACTGCTGATCGTAACTTCGCTTTGTCTTACTACATGAGAGAAAACAAGTGTTTTCCTGAAGGCGCGAGTCTCCAAGAGACGTTGGAGCTCTACTTCCAGGTAGGTCCAGCGTGTACTCAAGTGACTTCTTTGCGAAAGCCGATAACACAAGAAACTTTTATAATAAGAGCGCCCTTAAAGGGCAGTGGTTGTCGCGCCGCGGCCTGTTCGATATGAGACTCATAGCGACGTACACCCATCGAGGATATAGATGGATGAAAGAATAATATTTAGAATAAACTTCCCTGCAGCAACTTTGTGTATTGTTGTTTGTTACTTTGTGTATAGCAAACCTGACTGCAAACTGTGGTTACACTGAACGCCGAATATACAGTCGGAAAAAAGATACTCGATGCTCGCGTTGTGACTAGGGCCGTTTTACGTCACAGAGACGCTTCGTCGACAGAGGGCGCGGGTTGTGTTTGTTAATCTTTACAAATTTTACATGTAAATTAACATCCATTCGCGATACCCGGAAATTTGCCAATTTTTCTATAGTTAATTTGTTTTTGGATAGTTTTTTGTAGTCATCAAAAAAACATCATCCTGACGGAGACATAATTGTCAATCTAAGTTGCAACAGGTCTAGTTCTACATAGTTCGTAGAATATGCATTGATATGTATTAAATATTGAATTATAGACGCCCCAGTAGAGGATCTATGATTGAACACACATGAAATACCATTGTTAGTAGTTGATGACGTAATTATTTAATCATTCTCTCTTCTCCCAAATACTCCCATTTAGTTGTGTTCGATTGAGGTTACGGTAGATTCGGGTGCTGTTATGGCAGCTACCCTTGCAAACGGAGGAATATGTCCCACAACGGGGGACGCGATATTGGACAACGATGCTGCCCGTAATACGCTGTCTCTGATGCATTCTTGTGGCATGTACGACTACTCGGGACAATTTGCATTCAAGGTAAATATCACTCTCCTTTGCAGAGTCTTCTTGACCTAGGGAGCCACAGAGAGCCACAACAAGTGGGACGTTCCCTGGCGACTACCTAGCTTAGTTATAAAAGACCCATAGTCTCTGGATGGAGAATGGGTAAATATGTCATCGATCACATGGGTTGATATACCTGCATGTGCGATATCGGACTTCTTTCGAAACATTCAGGTCGTGTCGATCTTCATGTTCCATACCCACAAATGTGAGTTGTTTTGTGTGTGTGTTTTCGGAGAAAATAAATCGCGCGGCAGTATCAGTTCTATTGCAGCGATACGCGAATTTCAGACTGGATAACAATTATTCGAATGAACGTTTGTAATAACATCGACTGAAAGTTTATTTCGAAAATATTCGTCCACGGACACACTTATACGTCATGCATAATTTATAAATTATAAATTAGCATATGATTATTATTACACTTACTAAGCATAATTACTTAAAATTATGATTTCTCTGTCTTTTTGACGCATCGAGTTGGTTATGTGAAAAAAAGGTTATCATCTGATATCACTTATTTGTGGAGCTGATTTTTGGGGAGTCGATACGCACCTTTGATTGGTGGATAATAGTCATTCTAACCCATTACGTAACTCAACAAACAAGTGATATAAAGTAATAACCTCATAACACATTGCATAGTATGTGTTTACGAGTGTCGTCACCTTAGTGTTGTTGACTCGTTTATTTTAATATCATTTTTATTTAGATTGGGTTACCTGCAAAATCCGGTGTTGGTGGCGGTATCTTACTTGTGGTGCCAAATGTGTGCGGCATCATGACGTGGTCGCCTCCCTTGGATGAGCTAGGTAATAGTTGCCGGGGTCTCCAGTTTTGTGAGGTAATTGAGATGTTTTTTCATCGTATAATGGTCTGCTCCAGTTTTATGAAGTTTCAACTTCTAAACAGACAATCAATAAGATTATAATAACAATTTGATTATTATGACAGGTTAGTTATGACTACACAGAGGTTAAAGGTCGATGATTTATGTGTTTATTCTTTGCAGGGACTCGTGAGTAACTTTAATTTCCATAATTATGACAATCTTAATTATCACGGCAACACCAAGAAAATGGATCCCCGTCAACGAAGAGCAGACTTAAAGGTACAGTACTGTCGCTTCTCAACTTAATAGCGCCCTCTACAAGTACGATTTACACCGGCTTATCCGAAGTCCTATTAAAAAGCTTCTGGTGACTTTCACGTTATTCAGTTAAATTACAAACCGACGCAAAGTTACACGTACCAATTAAACTGAATACACTGAAGTCAGCAAAGGCATGTACGTTATAAATGATTTATAAGACTAAATAGTTATAACAGTCTATATAAACTCAATCGGCAGATACTCACTGATTGGCCCGTGCAGTGATGTTGGCTATTCCAATTACTGTCTGATGCACGAATGCTTCACGGGATGTAGGATGAATCTGCCTAACCAACTTTAGTTCAACTGATATTAAAAGTAAACAGTTGTCTTAATTGATACATTTTTATATGCATATTTGAATAAACATGCCTTCGCTGACTTCAGTGTAACCGATGGTCTGTATTCAAAATTTATTTCCAGAGACTCAAGCAGTATCAACTTTATTGATTGGTATAAATGTAGTACGGGTGGCATTATAATTATGTAAATTAAGTTAGAGTGCCACGCGTCGCGTCAAATTGTGAGCAAACATTTCACACGCGTGGTGTACGTCACGTGGAAGCCGTCACGTGACACGGTGCGATGACTGCAGTGCTTGTACGTAATATATGGTTTTCGATATTAACATCATGCAAAGTCACGTAATCCATTTCTGCAGGGACTGGATGTGGTAATCTTCTGTTTAGTGCA